GTTATGTTTTACAGCTTATATTATTCCATGATTATGATAATGTTATTGTTTTTCTTATATTGTTTTCATAAATTCCACCGAGGTAAGTGGATGGAAAAGGTTTTTATGTTAATAAGCGAGTTTGTTGTAAATTATGCTCCATTGGTCTTTTTGTGTTTTCTACCCACCTTTACCTCCGTGACGGTGAGATATCGTGATGTTCTTACTGGGCTAGTGTAGCTCACTCCTTATTTAACCATTTCAGATCAGGAAGACATGGTTCCCGAGCCCGTTCCGCAGGAGGACGACGAAGGGGATGCCTAGAGACTCTGTAGTCATGCTCATAGCTTTGTTTTCGAGTTTTTCTTTTAGTTAGTATAACCTTTTATAATTTAAGTACGTTTTTTATTTTCGTGTAAGGGATGTTAACTGAAATTTTGATCTCGCTTCCGCATTTGATATATTTAAATACTCATTTCATTTTAATATTTCCGGGGCCGTTACATTCCACTTTCATAGTCTCTGAAATTAAGCCCACTTAAAACTATAATAAACCAATATTAGTATTGTTAGTTAGCAGTAATCAGCATATAATTTCTAATTTAATAAAACTGAAAACTTATTCATCAAGTAAAATAATAATAAACAAATTAAACGAAGAGTTTGTCACTCTATAATAATTTAAATTTTTTAAATTAAAATAATTACAATGTATTAAGAACTTGATTTAAACTTCTCTTAAGTAAATTACATGATTAGTGGTGAGGAGTTCTTCATGTTCCCCACCTTGCCTCATTATAATTAATCAGTGTTTCATGACGCTATTAAATTTGCTGGATGTGTATGCTTTTAGCCTTTCAGTCGACGATGTGTCAGCTCTGTTGTGTCCCTCACATTCATTGCTTTAAAGCTTACATACTCTTTCTTCTTTGATCAATTCAGCTGCAGCTGAAGTTTTTGGCAAGCAAACTCTCAAGATTGCTTCAGATTTTTTCTTTTTTAAAAAAAAAAAAATCATATTCGTAATTAGGTAAAATTCCCAAAAATTAAGTTTTAATTTTATATTTAAAAAATAATTACTGAATTCTAATTTTCTTTTTTTTTTTTTTTGGGTAAATTCTCATATTCAAATGTGTGACAAGTTTTTTATCCCTTTAACGGCTTATGGGTTCATTCATCTTTTTTTCTCCATCAAAACCATCTTCGGGTAAACTAATATTTTTCTGTTTTATTTGTATACTTCTTAAAAAATTATAATTAAATTTAAGTAAAAACATAAAATTTTGATAAAAATTCTATTGATTAAATTAATATTTTTAGTATCACGAGTATAATTTTCTTTTGAGTTAACTTAAATTAGAAAAATAATCAAATCCAAGTTAAGTATCTGATTTGGTATGATATAATTAAAAAAAAAATTAAAACTAACAAATAATCAAGCATAAAAATTAAAGTTTAAAAAGCATTTTTTAAAAATAAACTTGTACGTGCAAAATTAACACCAGCAATTTTATAAGTATAGAAACATTAGTAGCCTCTATTTTAATTTATTATCATAGATATATAGGGTCATATCATAATAAGATATTTTTCTAATTAGAGTTGTTTAATTTTATTGGTGCCACATATTAGATTACATTTTTTTTTTTAATTATGAGGATTGGATCGGACTCATGTCATCCCAAAAAGGCTACTAAAATTATTTTAATTCAAATTTATTTTATCAATATTTTACTTTTTGTATTTATTATCATATTATAATTTTTTTTTTAATTTTTCATGTAAGATTTAAATATACTTTGATGAATTTAAGTTCGTGCTTATTCTATTTTATAAACAATAAATCATAATATATTTTGGATATGTAACGGTTCGGAACTTAAAATGAAATAAATTATAAATTAAATGCGGAAGCGAAATAATAGAGTTATAGTTTACATTTCTTACACAATAATTTAGAATATCCAATAAAATTACAGAAATGATCATTATAAAAGAACAAGCGAAAAATCAAAAAATAAATTAAAAGTAAACAAATAGATATCCTATGACGACCTTCACTAACCTTTGAAGGGAGTTCGGGTAGTAAACTATTCACAACTCCCTTATTGATCGGGATCTGTACCTTAATTCTTGGTTCTCTTGATCTGAAATGGTGAGTTACACTAACCCAGTAAAAAAATATCACACTGCTCACCGATACAGAAATTATGTTAGTAAAAATCATAAAAACAACTAATAGAACTCTTAAATTAAGTAAATTCATTAACATAAATAAAATTATTTATTGCATACTTACCGTAACGAGATTTCTAAAACTGTCATATAAAGGCAACGACACAAATAACATTATAATCTAATTTTTAAGTGGTCAGAACAACAATTTTTCATTTTTATTCGCTTACCTGTATCCTTGGAGGTCCATAGGGATGTCCCACTACGCACGAACCCATAACAAAACTTGTCAACTAATCGACAATCTCTATACTCCATTCAGTATGAGCGCCAATAGTACCATTCATCAATACCCCATTCAGAATAAGGGTGAATCGGGTCGTCCCCATACTCCGTCCGATATAAGTGTCAAAAATATAATTCCTCGATACCCGTTCGATATGAGATAACATTCATAGTAGGATTCTCTATATACCTGATTCGTCCATCATATCTCAGGATATTCAGTAAGATAACTGTTTCATTAATTTACTTAACCGATCAATTTTCTATTTGCATTTTAATTTCCAGTTTCACAATTTAATAATAAATCACGTAAGACAAGCAATGCATGTATCAATGAAACACAACTAAATAATCTTACGATCCAGTGTATTATTATGCATTTAAAATCGTAAAATCAAACAATCAATTAAATCGAACAAACAATGATAATAATTGATTCCGGCTCCATTAGTAACTTATAATTAATTTTTGAAGTTTCATAAATTGCAAAAAATACCGTATTATTTATAATTAAACTTCAATTTCATAATAGGAAATAAGGTGAGGGATTCTTACCCGAATCGGTGTACAAAACACTGAACTTTTTAATGTGACAACTGGCGGTCCCTGGATTTTCTTTAATTTTTATGTGGAGATTAAAATACGCTTCACTACCTAGAAATATCTCAAAAAATCTAAAATCGGTGTTAAAATTTTTTTCAGCCAATTTTAAAATTCTAGCATGGCATCCCCGCCCGCGGCAGCGGTTTGTCTCAAACTGGCAATTTTCGGCCAATTTTATACCAATCCCTGCGAGAAAATACGTTAAAAGGTCTCAGTTGGCCGAAAAAAAGTCGAAAAATAAAAACTTACCAGTGACGAAATTTTCTGTTGTGGTGGTTCCATGGACTTACCTTTGCGGTTGAATATTTTTTTCGGTCAACTTGTAGAAAACAAAATGGTGAAAACAATGGTGAAAAAATTGCACAAAACGGGAAACGAGAAGGGGCTCATCAGAGACGATTTTTTATTTTTTTCACGGCGGCATCGCCGGACTTTACCTTCGATTTCCAGCTCATACACTATTTCTTTTGCTCCAATTTGACCATGGGGGTGTTCCAAATTAAATTTCGAACGAATAAGAATTTTTTTACATTTTTTTGTGGTCGGAGGTGGTTCCGGCGCGACGGCGACCGGCGGTCGGCAGTCGGCTCTCTTCTCCGACGACTGATTCTTCTTCTCCGGTGAGGGGCTAGCGGTTAGGGTTTGAGTTCGATGTGAAGTGAGATATTTATACCCGTCTCCCTTAAATCTGGACCGTTCATCATATTTAATCTCGACCGTCTGATCGCGTTTAAAGAGAATATAAACTGTTCATCGTGATTTGATCTCGACTATACAATTGCGTTTAAAAAGGGAACGAATCGTGGTTGTTCATCGCGTTTAATCACGATCGTCCGATCGTGCTTGAGGAGGAAACGGATCCGGACCGTCCACGCGCGCGAGAACACATCCGGACCGTCCGTTTGCAGGCACGTGGATTGCCAACGTGGCCTCCTGCGTGGCATCGAGTCAGCATGTCTTGCCACGCGGAGCGCTCCAGTTCGTCGGGGTTGCTGACTAGACGGTCATACGTGGTGAAATTTTTTTTAATTGTATTTTGACCTACAATTTCTGATTTTTCTTTTAAAAATATCTCTCGAACACTTATTTTTCTCAAAATTATTTTCAATTTCATCATTCACTTATTTTTTTCTCTAATTTTACATTAAATAAATATTTATAAATTTAAAATTTATATTTTTATATATTTTTTTAATTTTAAAATTAATTTTGGATTAAATTTTAAGACTGAGTATTACAGGATAAGTTTAACTTATATGATTATTTTATTTTTCTTACTAATATAAGAAAAATATTTATTACAATATACTTAGAAGAAAAAAAAAATCCAGCTCAATGTCTTGAGAAGACAAGTAAATCGTATTATATTTATAATGATAATAAAAGAGAAAATAAAAAATTATTGGAAAAGAAAAAGGGGAAATTATTATTAAGAAAAAAAAAAAAAAAAACTCAAAACCGACTTTCTCATATTTTCGGGGGAAAAAAAAAAAAAAAGGATTGAAAATGAAACGGAAGACAACCCGCACAAGTGAGCAAAGACACCCGCCGCAGGGGCAACTGGGGAACCAAATGGTGTCAGCTTTCTATAATTTCATTTTTATCCCTTGAAAACCTTAAAAACCTATTTTCCTCCCCTATAAAATACAAAACCACCACCACCGCCCCTCCCCCTGTTACAAATCAAAAGCAAAGCGACCCACACAACACACCCCTTCTCTCTCTCTCTCTCTCTCTCTCTCTCTCTCTCTCTCTAACCTCGGGGTTTCGCTTCTCTCGTCTCCTTTCTCTCTCGCCAATCTGTCTCTCTTATGCTCGATACTCCGGATGTGTATGCATCTATCGCTACTCTCTCTCTCCTCTTTCAGGTCTGCCCTCTCTCTTTTTCTCTATCTATGTCTGTGTATATGGAACATATCTGATCTGTTTATGTGGTTTTTTAGTTGAAAGGTAATTGGGGATTTGATCTTTTTGTTGCTCTTTTAAGGGTTTCAGTTTGGGTTTGGATTTTCAATTCTGACTTTTCGATTTCTGTTTTGTCTTCGTTCTGCTTTTATTTATTAATTGAAAAAAAAAAAAATTGGTTTGCGAGTTTTCATGCAGTAGTTGAAAGCAAGAGAAGTTGAGGTGTTATGGCGACGATAAGATCGAGTGTGCCGTCAAGGTTGCGGCAGCTTCTATCGGCCGACGGCTCTCTCGGCCCGTCTCTTAAGCTGGACTCTGAGCCCGTGAGTTTTCTTTTTTTTTTTTTTCTTTTTTGCACTCGTTTATTTATTTGTCTTTCTACAATGCTTTTTGCGATCAGAGTTTTATCGGACTTGAGTACTGTTTGGTGAGCCATTAGGGTTTTACTGACCATTTCCGTTTCGATAATTAGTTTTGAATATGAAAGGGGTGGTTTTAGTATTCCCACTTTTTCTTTTTGTTTCGTGAAGTCTTCTTATTTTCCTGGAGTTGGTCGCTAGTT